CACATTTCCTCTTACAAAGGCCCCAGTCATCTCAGATTAGGGTCCACCCATATGGCCTAATTTAGCCTTAATGACCTCTTAATGACTCTTATGTCCAAATACAGTAACAGTCTAAGGTATTGGGTATTCGGACCTCAATATACGAGTTTTTTGAAAGGTGGGGACAAAATTCAGTCCATAACAATGGTGAGATCTAAAATCAGTAGACAAAAATGAAACAAGGACAACAGGGACAATATGCAAATAATCAATCAATAGTTCACCTATTTTTCATCTCACAAAAGAAGTAGCTCTCCTCTTCCCCCACCCCCAAATGGAGTGGGAAAATAATGCCCCTCCCACTACCAACTTACCTGAGAACTAACATCCAGCCATACTACCTCATATCAAAGGCGAATACCAAGCCATTTTAGAAAATTGTCTTGTGTTACCTGAAATAGATAACTTTTTGTATTCTTCTGAGACTTCAAGGTAATGATCTTGCTTACCTAATTGTGTAATATTTTTCTCTAAGCTTCTTGATGGAAGTAGGATTTTATTCCACCCTCCAAGTATAATCCATTCTCACCTCATGAAGCACAGGAAAAATTCCACTTCCCAGAATGCACTGTATCTTATAAAGACTACACCTCTCATTGAAGATGATATCAGAAAATGGAAAGACATCCCTTGCTCCTGGGTAGGAAGAATCAACATAGTGAAAATGGCCATACTTCCAAAAATGCTATATAGATTCAGTGCAATCCCAATTGAAATTCCAACAGCATACTTCATGGACCTTGAGAAAACAATCCAAAAATTCATTTGGAACAAGAAGAGACCCAGAAGAGCAAAAGCAATTCTAGGCAACAGAGACATGACAGGGGGTATCACAGTCCCCAACTTGAAACTATACTACACAGCTACTGTGGTAAAAGCAGCATGGTACTGGCAAAGAAACAGACCTGAGGATCAGTGGAACAGATTAGAAGATGCAGAAACAACTCCAGACACACTCAGCCACCTCATCTTTGATAAAGGAGCCAAACAACCCTCACTGGAGGAAAGATAGCCTCTTTAATAAATGGTGTTGGAAAAATTGGGTTTCAACTTGCGAAAGATTTAAACCAGACCTATATCTCTCACCATGCACTAAACTAAAATCAAAATGGATTAAAGTTCTAAATATTAAAACAGAAACCCTGAACCGGCTGGAACAGAGGAGAGGTAGAACTCTTGAAGACATTGGTATAAGAAAAGATTTTATGAACAAATCCTCAGTTGCCCATGAACTAGCACAAACAATCAACAAGTGGGATCTCTTCTTATTAAAAAGCTTCTGGGCCGGGGATATAGCTCAGTGGTTTCGCCGCTTGCTCCGCAAGTGCAGGGACCCAAGTTCGATCTCCGGTACCAAAAAAAAAAAAAGCTTCTGCACAGCAAGAGAAACCAACAACAGTATGAAGAGACAACCCACAATGTGGGAAAAAATTTTCACCTGCTATTCCTCAGACAAAGATCTACTATCTAGAATCTATAAAGAACTTAAAAAAATAGATCCCCCGAATTTAAAGACTCGTTCCAAAAATGGGCTTCTGAAATGAACAGGCATTTCTCAGACAAAGAAGTAGAAATAGCAAATACACATATGAAAGAATGTTCAACATCACTGGTCATTGGAGAGATGCAAATGAAAACAACGCTGAGATTCCACCTCACTCCAGAAAGAATGGCTGCTATCATGAAATCAACCAATAACAAAGGGAAAGAGGAACACTGCTCCAGTGCTGGTGGGAGTGCAGACTGGTGCAACCACTGTAGACATCAGTATGGAGATACCTCAAAGAACTAGGACTGGAAGTCCCATTTGACCCAGCTATTCCCCTGCTGGGTATCTTCCCCAAAGAAATAAAAGAATCATACCACAGTGATATATGTGCGCCCATGTTCACAGCAGCAGAGTTTATAATAGCTAAAACTTGGAAGCAGCCCAAATGCCCATCAACTGGAGACTGGATAAAGAAAATGTGGGGGTTTTTTTACAAAATGGACTACTTGGCCATAAAAAATGAGAAATTAGAGACATTTATAGCTAAATGGATGCACATTGAGGCAATACTCTTAAGTGAAATAAATAGGACACACATGTATAAATACCGAATAGTTTCTCTGGTGTGAGAAACTGAAAGTGTAAATAAGGACTAAAATGTATAATAGATAATGTGAAATAGGAAGAAAAGGGGCAAAGGGGAAGGAAGTGGGAGGGGTAGGGGAAAGGAAAGAAGGGAATGGAATTAATATGAGAAAATGAAAAAATGGAAACAAAGTCTTTGTAAATAGGGAGGGATGGAGGGGTTGAAGGGAGGGGAGGGGAATGGGGAAAAAATAAGAACCAAGAGAAATTATGTAAAGGTGCAAATTTCCAACGATGAATATCATTATATTGCATACCTAAAATGTACCAATAAAATTAATAAACTCAAGAAAAAAAAACTACACCTCTCAGTATCCAATGTACCTCTCAACTGCCTGTGCCATTTTTATTTTGGTTTTTCAGTTATGTTCCCTAAATGGATGTATAAAGTACAAAGGCAATGGAGTAAAAATCCAACTATCTTCAAATTTCTTGCCTTTAAACCCTAAATGCCACAATATTGTAGAACACTGTTTACATAAGATTAAGATGGGGAACAGGGGGATAACCTTGAATTTATACCAAACCAATGGGTATAAATTTTCTATTGCTATAAATAAAAAGCAATAGAATCTTTTGTCATAAGACAACTTATTGGTCTTTACAAATTAAACAAAATCATAACTTAGCTTTTTCAATACACATTTCAAACTTCCAGGAAAAAAATTGCTACCCAAGAAAAGTTTTTTCAAATTAATCTGGCAGCCAGTGAACAGAGCTTTGCCCTAAAGCACTTTACCCAGCAACTTCTGTTTTTCTTCTGATGCTTTTAATTTCCCAGCATCACAAATGCTTCCTAAACCTCATTCTTTCACTATTCTAAATTCTTGACTTCTTTGATGAGCACTTAAAACAATAAATAACACTGTTCTGTGCTCACATTTGCTAACAATGACCAAACTTTTCAGAGGGCTCAGACAAAAAGCTTTTTTTTTTGCCCTCTACAAAAGCTGACCTACTGAGCCCAACATACAGGCTATTTTCACTGCCAGATTTCTTGGTTATTGATTACTTTTCTTTATCTTTTAAAACTTATATTGAGAAATCTAAGTGTTGTTTTATGTAATTAGTAAAAACTAATAAACTCCTCTGGGATATATTTTATCTGACACAAATTTCTATTATCATCTATCTAAGACTTGAGACTATTTCTACTTAGTTATGATTTTAAAACAATACATGCAATGGTACTTGTCAGATTTAAATTCCAAAGGAATAAAATCCACTCTGCCTGGTTTAGCAGAAGCAGCTTAATGCAAGTTTTAAATGGGTTACTGGATGGCTGGGAAGGCTGAGAAAATGTCTTCTAGAACAGACTTCAGAAATGACACTCAAAATCACAAAATCTAGACACCAAAGAAGCCTCTTCTGAATTTGGAAACCTCCTGCCAAGCAAGGTACCTACTGTCTCCTGAACCTCACTATCATAACCCATCAGGAAGATGCTAGGATCTCTCCCAACAGAATGGGCCCTATCTACCCTCCAACTCTGCAGCTCAATGCCTGTCAAGACTTCTACTGATACCGCAGAAGAATGAAGTTCCTACCCACCCCTGCTTGCTCAAAAAAAAACAAGCAGCAGACAGCCTGTGCCTCATATCCGCCTTCCAAATCTTATAGGAAATATGAGATGCATCTAATTTTTCTACTTTTTTAGAACTTAAATTATACTTAGAACCTCAGATAATAGTAATTCTGAAAATGTATAAGGCTGCACACTTGAAAAAGGTCGGAAATTATACAGAACATCAGTCTGTCATATTCACAATAATACAATCTGATCATATTCTTCAATGCACAGAGAAAAAACTAGGGGCATTACCATAACTCTAATGGTCCACTGAAACATCTGGGGAGCTTTCTGCAACTGCAGATAAATTATAAAAATATTAACCATTAATATTTGATTTCATACTATGTGCCTACCAATATTCTGTGTGCCTTATCGGCATCTTAACAACCCTGAAGTGTGTACTACTTTTATCCTTAATTTACAAATAAAAGAACTGTAGCATAAGGAGGTAAAATAATTTCCTCAGGGCTACTTACTACTACATGATGAAACCAAGATTCTAACTTGGCGAATCCTACCCGGAGAACGCTTCTTTTCTGAACATTTCATTCAGTAGATCTAAGCAAAAACTATGCTTTTCTTAACCTCTGCAGGGTAATTCTCTTGAACACCAGAATTCATACCCAGAATTTTCTAATTTTTTTTTTTTTGTACCGGGGATCAAACTCAGGTCCTTGTGCTTGCAAGGCAGGTGCCGGAACCACCGAGCTAAATCCCCGGCCCCAGAATCTTCTAATTTTAAGCAATTACTATGCATCAGTTTTATACTCAGAAAAGTGATCTAAAAGTTATAGTATATATAATTCTGTATATGCAATCACTGCCTTGCAGGTAGTAGACATATTACAGAAGAGCCAAAGGAAATTACGATACAACAAAGTGGTACAAGAGACTGTCTCTGTAAGGTGGGAATGGGAATGTTTCACTGTCTTCTACTTTTTGTGTTTTCCTCATGTTCTTTGATGCGCATGACTTACTTCATGTCCACGTGTGGTCAAGTTCCATCTATCGCTTACAGATGGTTCATGTTAGTATGCGAGCCTTAAAGATGCTATCTCTTTTACTGCTTCTGTCATGCTTCTTTCCCTTCCCAAAGTACCTTTATAATGTAAAATTTTAAAGCCAGAAAGGTATCTCAAAATGTCCTAATCTGTTAGTGAGGTTATGAAAAGAAAAACAAAATATTTACCTTGTAATTGTTTTGTTTTTATTTTATACATTAAAGACTTTAAAACAGTAATCTGAGATGTCCTCTCTGAACATATACAAAGTATAATTGAAACATTGGATGAATGTTTAAATTTTTAAAAATTTATTACAGTAAAAGATACGTCCCATTAACCTCCTTCAAAATATTCCCCATCATTTCAAACACACTATCCCATCGTTCTTGCCACTTTATGAAGCAGTTCTGGAAATGCTTTTGTGTCATTATTTGTGCTGTTCTGACTGTCTCAATGTCCTGAATCAATTCAAAATGTTTACCTTTCATGACCATTTTGACTTTAGAGAAGAGCCAGAAGTCACATGGTGCCAGATCTAGTAAATAAGGTGGATGAGAACACACCGTAATGTTTTTACATGCCTACTTTTCTCCTGGATGACACTTGGCCCAGCATTCACTGTATTTGTGATCACACTTCCTAAAGATCCTTGGCATGGTTTATATTTAGATTCCCCCCGGCCAAAGCCTCATGCACTCATAGTTGGGGGTTTTGGGAGATGACTGGATCGTGGTGTGTGATACTGGATTAATTTACTGATGAGTTTACACCTGGCTGTGATGTTGGGAGGTGAAGCCTGGTGGAAGAAGTGGGTCACAGTGGGCGTGGCCTGGAAAGGTACATTTCTGTCCTCCTCCCTTGATCCCTCTCTGCTTACTGCCTGCCAGGCCATGAATTTTTTCTCCTCTGCTATGCCACAGTCCCTTGGAGCCAACCGGCGATGTAGTGAAACCTCTACAAACTGTGAGCCACAATAAACCTCTCCTGCTTTAACTTGGGGCTGTTGCATAGTTTATCCAAGCAATGAGAAAGGTAATAAGATAGGAAAGGTGACTTCCAGAACTGCTTCAGAAAGTGGCAAGAAGGATGAGATAAGTGTGCTCAAAGTTGGGGAGAGTATTATGAGGTGAATGAATAGCAATGTGTCTTTTACTATAATAAACATTTTAAATTTAAACACTCACCATATATTTGATCACCCTTTGTACATCCATACCTGTCGATCACACTTTACCCTTCTAAATTCCTTCCCTTCCCATCTGCCTCCTTTCCCTCCTGTCTTCAGGCTATAGGAGAGGCAGCCAGGCTGTAAGCATAGTAGTCTTCCCAGGACCACAGCTCCCCAAGCTGGCATCTCACACTGTCCCTGGGGCGGTCCAGACCCTCCACCTGCAACCTGACCACACACTTGGCTTCTGTCACTTCCCTAAGCCTCGCTGAGCAACCCTAATCCATCATCCAAACAAACATTAATATTTTACCTCAGTTATCAAGTGTGCCCGTTCAAACTTTTATCTAAAACATTCTTTATCATCTTTTCATTAAGTTCTCAAGAGCTAATGGTTTCTGAGTTCCCCGGGTAAGGATGATGTTCTGAATAATGAAAGCTCATTATTTCTCCACAGAATGCTTGTTAATTCAAATGATGATATTAAAACTATAGTAGCCTTTAGCGCTGGGGTGATTTCTAGCATACTTTATCATGTATCAATATATACTCTGTTTGTCAAAACTGCCCAGGGCTGGGGCTGACATTCTCTCTGGAGGAGTATAGTGCTTCAAAAGGCACTGAATACACCAAGGTGACAAGTTGCAGAGTTTGCGCCTCTAGGAAATGGAAAGATGAAACTCGAAGTGCCAGTGTCTCCCTTGATTTACTTATTAGTATTCATAAAGAGATAGTGCCTCCTCTTTCTATTCCTCACAGGTCTCCCTTTCCAGTGGAATAAAAGGAAATCAATATTTTGAGAAGGAAACTCACATGGGGAACTTCTACATACATGAACATTAGTTATTTCCACTTAACTGATCTCAAAATAATCTGCACAAGCAGAGATGGATTTTGTTACTGCTTAGACACACACATGCGGACATTCAGACTGCACACAATCAGTGCTTAAGTGTTTATGATATTCTCGCCCCAAAAAGTTTACTCTCAGCTTATTTTTAACAGAAGATTATTGGGTTCATTGAGTTTTGGATCTCTTTAAATACTTTTCACTGTATCTCATCCTACTTTTTATGACCAAGCAAATTTCCACAGTTGCTACCCTGTAGTAAGCCTCTGAAAGTGCCCTCTTCTCTACTTTCAATAGCAGGATGCTTCAAATATTGTGAAATCCACATTCTTCCTCTTCTTTACCTTTTGATTAAAAGGTTATAGGTGACTGAGAACCCACAAGAAGGCTACGCCGCCACAGCCAGCTCAGCCTATCACCTATCTGACCTGCAGTGCCCCGGTCAGGGGACCAACTGCCCGTTTCCTTCCTCTCATATTCACTCTCTGCCTTCCTGATATTGCGATGCTTTGCACAGAAATATAAACTGCTTCCCTCTGGCAGCTTTTCAGATGTTTCTGTGTGCCCTGCATTTTTGATGCACATGAAATTCCAATATCCCAGCAGGTCTCCAAGGAAAGGGCAGCATTTCCCAAACTAGGTATTTTATCTCACTGAAGTAGTCTCAAATCTGAAGAATCTTCTCTGTGCCTGCCTCCAGAACCTGGGAGGAATTGTAATTTTGAAAACCAAGCCATTCTCTAAGTTGCTTGAAGCTGCAAGGTCAATACACGGGAGCACTGGCGTGTGCTACAACATGCATTTCTGTACCATTGTCTCTTAATTGTCTCTCTTGTGGAAGACTAGCTTGCCTCCTGCCCACAGGCTCTCACAAACCAGGATGGTGAACTTTTTGCATCACAGTTGTACTTTCAGCACAGTAACTCTGTAAAAAAAAAAGACTCTACAAGCATTACTATAATTAAATTAATTATACCATTCAATAGTTTCTGCATTTTCCATTAATCAGAGTAGGCAACAGAATGATGCTTATTTAAAAGAAATAAAAGTCACTGTTAATCCAATAAATGAATGATAAGGAGAATCTAAGCTAATTTATTATAAAAGAATAAATGCATCCCTAGAATATTTCAGTCATTGGGTCAATGTAAGAAAAATGTGGTTTAAGAAAAATATGTAGGTCATTTCCCATTGCATCTGGGTTTTAAATATTCTGACCTAATATCAAACTACCACCCAAAACATCTTCAGGGCATACATGCATCCCAATTTTCAGTTCAGAAAATATGGTCATCAAATATGCATGGAACTACCTGAAACTCCTCCCGAAATCTCAAAGGGGCTGCAGTCCTAATAGGGGCTGGTTAAAGCAGACTTGGAAGAAACTGCTTAGTTGATCATTTCATTTGGTCTAGAAGCCTAATAAGCATCCTTGTCATGCTTTAGATCTGAGATGTCCCCCAAAGCCTCACGTGTTTGGAAGGCAATTAGATCAGGGAGGTGGCATACTCATCAATGGGTTAGCCCACTCATGCACTCATAGCTGACTTGCTCTTAGGAGGTGGGGTCTGGTTAGAGGAAGGTCACTCGGGATGTCTCCTGGCAGAGTACATCTCCCTTCCCATCTCCTCTTTTCTCTCTCTGCTTCCTGGATATCATAATGTGAGCAGGTTCACTTCTCAGGAGACCCTTCCACCAGGCTTGCCTTGGAGACAGCTGATTACAGACTGAAACATCTGAAAAACCATGAGCCAAAATAAACCTCTTCTCCATTAGGTTACGGGTGTCAGGTGTTTTTTCCCAGCAATGAAGAAAATGACTAAGATGATCCTCTTCCATACAAGATCCAAGAAGCAGAAGCTATATTAATTTTGTTCACTATTTCAGAACACATATTTACCAATCCAATCTTTTAAAAGCTTAGGTTTTCTCAGAAGAAGGTAACTTTGGAAGAAATTAAAACATAAAATATTTGGAAATTAACTTCCTGGCATCAAAGTATTGAGTGAGTTTTCATGAGCCAATGATTCATACTGTAATTAAGAAAAAGGGAAGATAAGTAACCAAAGTAAGGAACTATCCTAGATACATTCCATTTTTATGCAATAAAAAATCAATTTGATCAGTCCCCTGAAAAAAGTATATATAACTGAATGCTGTACATTCAGCTACTCAGAATATGTTGTGTTAACTATTACAGATAAATCTATTTGAATGTAGGATGGCCAGTTGAAGTTATAGGCTTTCCTGATAAGGTGAAAGAAAGTCTTTGCCGATCCCTATCTAATAAAAGTATTTTTCATGACCCATAGATTATCATTAAAGAAGGAAAATATTTACTCTTCTTTTCACAATTTGTAGCTGTTTAGGCTGCTATCTATAGCACAGAGAGGAGACCAACAAAGTTTTTAAAGAATAAAAGAATACATTTTGGGGGATTTATGTGCCACACAGTCACTGTTGCACACCTACTCAATTCTGCTGTTATAGTACAAAAGTAGTCAATATTATAGACAATAAGTAAATGAATGAGCTAGTTTGTGTTCCAATAAAACTTTATTTATACAAATAAATTAAAAAACTGGGATGCAGCCCAGTGCAGAACCCTAGCCTAGCATGCATGAAGTCTTGGGTTTGACCCTCAGCTCTGGGGGAAAAAAAGCAAAAACAAAATAAAAACAAGCTACAAGGCCAGATTTTATCCACAAGTCATAGTTTACAAAAGAAAACTTTTTACAATTAGCTTTACAAATAATATGATTATAATTATTTTAAACTACTCACTAAATTGCTATTGTTCTCAGTAAGAACAGAATTTTATTGCTTAAACATTTGTGACAAAGTCACTTATAGTGTGATTCACATCAAGTCTTTCTCCAACCCTTAAATGACTCACTGGACAAATGATTTTATTTGTAAATAGCCACATACATCAACCTAATATCTGATAATCAGTAGGATTCCAGGCCTTATTAAAAACCAATCTTCATATTTAAAAAAGAGCATATGAAGAAGGAAAAATCTGATATAAAAACAATTTTTAAAAATCAATAATTAATGATAGTTACTGCAATAATATAAAGAAGGCTTCTTAGGTCACAACTGGACCACTATGTAATAAAAATGATGCCTTGGATGATCTGCCTGTGAATTCTAAATACTGTCATATGTTACTTAACAGTGGGAGCACATCCTGCAAAACGTGTTGTTAGGAAATTTCACTGTTGCATGCACACTGTAGAGTTTAATTTCATAAACTAAGATGATTATGATATCACTAGGAAATTATCTTATAGAACCACCATTATACTGTATATGTGTCCTATCACTGATCAAAATGTCATTATGCAGCACATGAGTGGGTATCAGAGTAACTTAAAGAGGTCTGAGATTTTATTCTTCGACATCATGTGCTCCAGGGAGGTCTGTCTAGTCTTACACATGGAGTAGGTTAGGCTCCGTAGAAAACTGTAAAAGAAACTAAGAAACAAAGGGTGTGGTTTATCTAAAACTGAATTTACATAAGGAATATCGACTCACTTGGAATTTTCCTGTTGGAAGGGGCCTGACAGTTTATTTTTCGACCACAGTACACTTCAGTTGGTTTCCAAAAATTGTCTAAAAATTATAGGTAAAATTTGAGTGCTTACTATTTTAGTACTAAAATGTTTACTTTTTTCATGGTTCTGCCACCTGCCTTGCAAGCACAAGGTCCTGAGTTCAATTCCTGGTACCCAAAAAAATTTTTTTTAAATGTTTACTTTTTTCTTTTGTGAAAATCTACTATTCACTAATTGTCAAAGAAGCCATTACCCTTTATAGCTGTTGAATAGTCTAGCAAATTAGTGTCTATAAATACTTATTGTGGGATTTAAGAGATAAACAAATTGCAAAAAGTTTGAAATTGTAAAATCAAAGTTTCAGAAGAGTTCTAAAAAGTTTTCTGGCCCAGTCTCCACATTGTGCTTGAATTATTCCTATACACACCCCCAAACAGTAATATAGCTTTGCTTAAATATTTCTGTAGACAGGGATTTCGCCACCTTATTAAAAAAACAAACTATTCTACTTGTTGATAACTGATTATGGAAAATTCTTCTTTATACTGAACTGAAACTAACCTGCTTATATTCTTTACCCTTTTGTTATTTCATTTGCCCATTAGTCTACCTATTAGTTCTAGTTCAATTCTTGGAGTATACAAAACAGCTCTATTTCTTCCTTTGCCTATTGTGAGTGTTCGCAAACTTTTTCTGTAGAATTATAGAGTGTAAATATTTTGTGGGTTTTAGGCTTTAAGGTCATTATTGCAACCACTCTGCTGCTGCAATCAAAAGTAGCGATAGAAAGTACATAAAGAAATGTGGTGACTATGCTCAAATAAAACTGTATTATGGATGCAGAAATTCAAATTTCATATAATCTTCTTCTGATATCTTCAACCATTTAAAAATTAGAAGACCAGTCTTATCTTGAACAAAAAACATGTAGTGGATCAGAGTTAGGTCTAGGGCTACTGTTTGGCTGCCCCTAAACTATTTGATAACAGATTGAGTTCTATCCTCCTGATTGACTGGAATAATGAAAAGATAATAGCATGCCTTACAAGAAGTGACCAGAGGTACTAGGAATGTTTAGATTGGAGAAGGGGAAAAACTCGAGTGAGAAGAAGCCCTGGTCCAGGCTGCTTTTAACTGTACTGAGTCACCTGTCTCTCAAGGTCACTCAACCATGTAGAAAGGGGAACAAAGTTGTTCTGACCTGACTCAAGCTTAGTGAACCCACGAGGCTTCTAAAGACCATCATTTCCTTTCCAGGGACATCAGGTGGCCATCATTTTAATGAAAAAAGGAAATTTATCAGTTCAGTCAACAGTTAATCCTGTTCTCTCATCTCAAATCCAGACATAAACAAGAATTTTTTTTACACCTGTTTTTCTAAAATAAGACAAATAATATAAACTGGTAGTGACAGGAGTGGAAAAGCACCAACCTTTAGTAATTATGAAGACAGTGGAGTTACTGGCATCATCTTGGTATAATAAGATATAACTCTCATCTTTAGAAAGAGGACCAGTGTTGTTACATGACTGAGGAGCTGTCCTGGAAGTAGATGTTCCAAAAGTGTTCTGCATGGCTACACCTTTGAAGGGATGAGGGGATGTCTTCCTCTAAACCAAGTGACTACAGTCATGGACCACGTAGCAATGATTCAGTCAACAATGGAGCACATAGTGTACATGACAGTGGTCCTACAAGATTACAATAGAGTTGGAAAATTCCTATCATCAGTAACATCATGACTGTCACGAGGTCATAGCGCAATGAATTACATTTGTTTGATGCTGGTATCAATAGACCTACTGATCTGCTGGTCATATAAAAGTACAGCACATACAATTATGTCCAGTATATAAGATTTGATAGTGATAAATAACTATGCTACTGGTTTACAGATTTACTATACCTTTATCAGTATTATTTATTTATTTATTTTTGGTACCAGGGATCAACCTTGAGACCTTGCACTTGCGAAGCAGGCGGCGGAAACACTGAGCTAAATCCCGAGCCCCTCTTTATCATTATTTTAGAGTGTATTCTTTCTACTTGGTGAAAAAAAGTGGTCACCAAAAAAAAAATCTGCCTTGTGATGCTGGCCCACGCTCATCCATTGCATGCTCACTTATCTCTTAACTATATCAAGAGGCCACTTTGAGCAACTGACTTGGGCTATCTAGGTTGGTGTAAGGGCTCTCTGTGATGTTCGAACAACAAAACTTTCTAACAGCACATTTCTTGGCAGGTGGTCCCTTCATTTAGCAATGCAAGACAGCACTGTGTAGGAAACTGCATCATCTGTACCCTTGTCTGCATTCCGACAAGACACTGGCCCGGGGCTAGAGTGTGGCTCAGTGGTAGACCACTTGTCTAGCATATACCCACAGAGCCCTGGTTTTGATCCCCAGTACTATAAGAGAAAGAGTAGAGGGAAGGGGAAGATGGGGAAAAAAGTTTGTCTGAGGGGAACAGCTCAAAACCCACTAGTGGATTTCCACTGGCATGGTTTGTATAAACTCCAGTTGGACTGGTTCTGCCTCCTCAACACTGAATCTGACCACTCAAGCTTTTTCATGGAAAGAATTAATATACTCTGTTCAAAAGGTTCTATCACAGTGTGAAATGTTATGATTTTGAAATGGTACAATAAGGATCTGAACAATTTGAATCTCTTACGTTAATCGGAAGACTTAAATTTTGGGAAAGGAGTTTGTGCCCTTTCTGTTATAGTACATGTTACGTTGGATCCCAATCAACATTTTATTTTTTCTTGTCTCCTTCAGCTAAGATTAAAGCAGTAGAAAGTCTAGAGATGTAGCTCAGTGGTAGATGCTTCCCTAGCATGCGTGAGGCCCTGAGTCCCTTCCCCCGTACTAAGGGAAAGAAAAGAGCTCCAAGAGGGCAGGGATTTTTGTCTCTTTGCTCCCTGAACCATCCCTAGCACCTGGGACAGTGCCTGGCACATACTAAAAACTCAGTGTGTGTTTATTTAATGAATAGATGGAAGAAACTATATCCCTACTACACGGTAAACATTCCAAATGGAAATAATAAAAAGTAATACCTGCACATGGTTAAACAAAATTGAGCAGTGGATATTTGGAGATATTAGTAAAATATGGTTTGTTTAGGTGTGGAAAGTACTGTGGCTATGGTTTAATACTGACATACTGAAAAATGCAATGATGGCCAGAATCTTCTGCAAAATAACCTTGGAGCAGAAACAAGATCAAGATCAGCAATGAGTCAATCATTGTTTTGGCGTGAGGAAGTTGATTACATTGTTGCCTCTGCTTTTGCATATATTTATATTTTTTTCATTGTAAAAATTCAAATATTCAAGGATGGCAAAGTTAAGAGTAAGACTTCAAGGGCCAGGGATTTAGCTCAGTGGTTCCACCACTTGCCTTGCAAGCTCAAGGACCCGAGTTCGATCCCCAGTACCAAAAAAAAAAAAAAAAAGACTTCATCCCCTCCTCACCTTTCACTCCATCTGTCCACTGAACGAAGAAAATTTTGAAAAAACTATAATCACCTAAAATACAGTCACTGGTTGCTTCACGGCAGGGAGACACACTGAAAATGTGCAGTTGGGCAATCCATGTTGTGTAAATCTCACACAGTGCATGTCCTTCAAACTAGATGGGCTAAGTCAGTCATGCCACGAGCCTTCTCCATGTAATCAAGATACACAGTGAACACAGCTCAATGAGGCTGCTGCAGCCGCAGCACTTACTCATCGTCGTCCTCCTCCTCCCATTAAGCTCTGAGTTCCCTGGGGACAGAGATCAGGTTTTGCAGTCAACTTGAATTTTTAATAAGTAAAATGAGTACACCCTAAAATAATGATTAAGAGTATAGCACATACATAAGTCAGTTACATAGTCATTTATCATTACTATCAAGGACTCTGTACTGTACATAATCGTATGTGCAGTATTCCAAAATGACTGACAATGCAGTGGGTCTGTTTGTACCAGCATCTCCACATACACATGAGCAAAGTGTTGCCTACGATATTAGGATAGGTATGACATCACTAGACAACAGGAGTTTTTCCGCTCCTGTACACAGTCCACCATTGGCTAAAACATTGTACAGCACAGGGCTATATACTGAGAACTATTGTAAGTACTGGAGCTACAGCTGTGTGCAAACACGTGTGTGTCAGACAGAGAAACAGACAATAAGTTCATTAATAAATACATAGGACAATTACAAAGAGTGTAAGTTCTTTAAAAAACAAACCAAAACTAGCTCTTCTTCCTCAAAGTAACCAGAGTCATCAGATAGTCTAGGTGTTTACCAGCAGCTGTGTGTATGGATATGTGTGTGCACATGTGTGTATGTGCGTGCATGTGTGCTTGCTCCCATGTGTATCATGTACCCTTTTATTATACAAATAGAAGCATCCGTGCTGTTCTGAACTTTGTTTCTTTCCCTGAATAAAACATCCAAAAGCCAATCTGTGCACAGAATGCAATATCTCGAGAACAAGGACCACATGGAACTCACTTTGCTCCCAGGTAACTGTCAGACAGTGAATGTCTGATGAACTGAATACCTGGTTGAAAGTCTATCTACTCAAAATGTGGTCAAACACAAGACACCTGCCCTCTGCAGACCTCCCACTCTTACTCCAAAGTGGGGGTCAAGGGCAGTTTGCAGAGCTGTCTGGTGCCTAGCACACAGAGGGTCTTTGATCCATGTCTGCCAGAGGAATGTGAAATGGGATGGGACGTGTGATGAGGCAAAGCCATCACACACATTCTCTTAGGCACCAGATGAGACTTCCCAGCAATCAGTGCTTGTTGAGTACCCCGTATGGACAGGCGTCTCAGGCATCAGGAAGCAATGCAGAAGCTAAGTTTATTGTACATGCTGCATGACCTGGATGGGTTTTTGTGTTTTTGCTTTTGACTGTGTTTGGTTTTATTTCTTTAACTTGCTCAAGCTGCTAAAGCTGCTATGTTTGCCTCAAGATCACCTTTAATTTTCAGTAGACTTCATAGAGGTTATCACAGAATCACTGAGAGACCATTTACATCCTGGTTTGGTTCCCAAACATTTGGATCCTAGAGGAACAAATATGTCCTGTTAATGTTTAAACATGTATTATTACTGGTTTTGTTAGTCCACTTTCCATCTCTGTGACAAAATACCTGAGGTAAACAAATTTAAAGAAAGATTTCTTTTGGCTCAGTTTCAGAGGTTTTGAGCATAGTTAGCTGGCTCCACTGTCTTAGGCTTGTGGCAAGGCTGAACACGGTGGCAGCAGGAGCATCTGGCAGGGGAGGCTGCTCACCTCATGGCAAACAGGAAGCAAAGAAGGAGAGAGGAAGAGGCTGGAGATAAGATATGCCCTTCAGTGATCTATTTCCTCCAACCAGGCCCCACGTCCCACAGTTTCCATCATCTCCCAATAGTCCACTTAATTAGGCACCTACAAATGGATTAATCTATTCACAAGATCAGAGCCTCATGATCCGACCACACCCCCAATACCCACCTCTGAACACTGCTGCACTGGGGACCAAGCCTCCAACATAATGAGCCATTGGGCAGCAGATCCAAACCATAAGTGCAGTCATTTTGATGCTACTGTAGGTTCCTGGACATCAATCACAGGAGAAAGGCAATATAAGAGGAATGGCCACCAGATCATTTGGACCCCTGATCTTGCTTAATCTTAAATGTCTCGAGAGAGACATTTAAATATGTCCTTATGAAATACAACCACGTTACTGAATACAAAAGATCGGCAGTGAAAGGGAAGCCTAAGGATTGCCAAATGGAGCTTATTTATGTATCGCCCAGCACATTTAAGGTAAAACTTATTTGTTTAAACAGAACTGAGGAACAAGAGGATCTTCTTACTGCTAATGCATCAAGGTCAATACTCTGTGTTCCCTTTTCAGATTACATGTACTGGAAAGACGGAAAAATCATTGCAACTAGTCTTCACAGTCTAGAATACTTTTTAGACATTCTCTTTAAAGTATCACTAACTGGCCTCATTGAAGTACTATTAGGGGTTAGATTGGGTGAAGCTCAGGTCCTTCTTTGAAGGTAGCATGGCTGTGTGTTGTGTGTGTTTGTGTGAAGGCAGGGCATGAAGGACTATAAATATACCTGAACATAAGCCAAAGATGCTGGAGAATACATGTAAGCTTGAAACAGGAAGAGAAGAGCAGAAAAATGATGTTAAGTTAGCTACCAAAGTTGCCACAGAAAGAAGGACTGGCCCAAATGCTGGAAGTCAGCCCGGGCCATACACCTGTCTTAGTCATCTTGGGTTGCTAAAGCAAAATAACACAGGTCAGAGAGCTTAAACAACAGACACTGATTTTCCAACATCAGGGAGTCAGGCTGGTCAGGATTTGGTGACAAATCTTTGTTCCTGGTTTTCAGGTGACCATATTCTCACCATGTCCTCAAAAGCCTTTCTTTAGTGTGTGTTCATGTACAGAATGAGAGCTCCTTCTCGCTTCCTCTTCCTGTAAGGGCACTAATCCAATCATGGCTGTCCCCAACCCCACAACCTCATCTACACTTAATATCCTTTCAAAAATGTGATCTCCTATTATTATCACACTAGGGAATGGGGTTTCAACCTATGAATTTTGAAGAGACACCAACATTTAGTCCAAAAGAATATTAATTTTACAACTCTGCACCTGTAATTCATTTGATGGTCATGAGAATCTATTAATAAGGAAGACTTTTACAAGTTTGCTTTGAGTTAATCATTCATCTGATGTTCAAGAAATATTTTACTCTGAACTAGGTAGAGTTATAGGCCCTGGAAAACAGAGGAAGAAAAAAAGGGGCATAGTTTCTGTCCCCAAGGAGTTCAGAGCATAATGGGAGAAAAAGAAAGACAATGAACAAGTGAAAGGAAAGGGAGAGAGAGAATAAAAGAGAAATTGCCACTTATGATTCTGGTTTGAAGGACAAAAACAGGACACAGTCCTAGAGAGAAAGGTAGGGGATGCAGAAGGGTGCATGATTAAGAAAGTTCTCTATGAGGTGCAGATGAAAACAACACTGAGATTCCACCTCACCCCACAAAGAATGGCTGCTATCAAGAAATCAACCAATAGCAAATGCTGGCGGGGGTGTGG